AGGAGTAACAAAAACCTAGGAACCAACAACATAAAACTTGCAATTTTCAGTTCAATTAAAAAAAAACCTACTACTAGGAAAGTAAATAAATGACAAAATGAATTATAATCAAAAGAAAAATCAACCAATAAACTAGAAATGACAAGAGTTGCTAGAACCAACAGACAGATTGCTAAACACTTAACAACAGACATGTTTCTAGGTGTTCATGAAGATACAAAGAAACATTATCAAGATGAGGGAAGAAATGGAAGATATAAAAAGACACAAATGGAACCTCTAGAGATGAAAATACAGTCTCTAAATGAAAAATATACTGGTTGTGATCAACGGGAGATTAGACACTACAAAAGAAGAGATTATTGGAAAACATACCATTAAAAATTATCCAAAATGAAAATAGAAGGGGGAGAAAACAGAAAAAAATTAACACAGTGCAGTGAACTACAGGACAATATCAAGCAATCTAATATAAGTATTTTGTAATTCAACAAAAAAAGCAGAGGATGAACAGAAAAAAATATTTGAAGAAATAACAGCCAAAAGATTTCCCAACTAAAGGGCTGGAGGCATGGCTCAAGTGGTAAAGAGTCTGCCTAGCAAGTGCAAGGACCTGAGTTCAAAACCCCAGTATCACTAAAACAATTTTTTCCTAATTTAATATAAACTGTAAACCCACAAATCCAAAAAGCTCAATAAACCTTAACCAGAATAAACAAAAGGAAAAAGATGTTAGAAACATCATAATCAACTTGCTGAAAAGCAGTGAAAAGAGAATAAATGCAGTCAGAAAACAAAGAGACACTAAGTAGTAAGGAATCAAGAAGGGTATCAGACTTATCACCAGAAACTACACAGTAAGAAGACAAGGGCGCAAGATAATGAAAGAATAACATATCATCCTAGACCTTTATTGCAGTTCTGTGGTTTGAACTCAGGGGTTCATGCTTGCTAGGCAAGTATTCTATCTACTACTTGAGCCACACTCCTAGCCCAGCCTTGACCTTCGTATCCAGAGAAGTATTTTACTAAATTGAAGGCAAAAATTAAATGTAAAGAGAATCCATCATCAGCACCTCTGTACTTTGAGGAATGTAGAAGGAAGGTTGCTGTTGTTGTTCTGGGGTTGCTGGCGATTGAATTCAAGGCCTTGCACTTGTTATGCAAGGACTCTACCACTTGAGTCACATCCATAGTTATTGAAGGAAGTTTTTTAGGCAGAAGGAAAATGCTACCAGAGAGAAATTCAGATTTATACACGAGAAATAAAGGACAGAAATGGTTAGGCAACAGTAGCTCACACCTAGCTAGAAGTCCTAGCAACTTAGGAGGATGAGAGTGGAAGGATTATGGCTCAAGGCCAGGCCTGGGGAAAAAGTTTGCAAGACCCCATCTCAACCAATAGCTGGGTACAGTGACAAGCACCTGTCATCCCAGCTATGGTGAGAAGTCTAAAACAGGAAGACAGCAGTCCAGGTCAGCATGAACAGATGTGAGACTCTGTCATCTTCAAAATAACCAGAGCCAAAAAGGCTGGAGGTGTGGTTCAAGAAGTAGAGCACACAAAGCCCTGAATTCAAACCCTACTATAGCAAATAAAACAAAAAACCAAAACCTCCCCACAAGAGAAATTGTATGCATTTGGTTAACTCTAACAGACGTATTTGCCTATTTAAAATAGAAATGGTAACATTATGAGGTGTCTGACAATGGCATAAAGTATGACAGGACAAAATGAAGTAGCATAAAATTATGTGAAACGATTGTGAAAATCTAAAATTGCATATTAGAAACCCTACAGTAACTACTAGAAATAATAAAATAAGTAATAAGGAAAAAAGTAAAAATAGAATTACTTAAAAACAAAAAACCTTCAACTCAAAAGAAGGCATGAAAGAATAAAAAAGCAACAACTACTACAAAACAACAGATGGGAAAAAATAGCAAGATAGGAGACATAAACTTAACCATACTAATCATCACATCAAATGTAGACTCAGCACCTCAGTCAAGGCAGGTATGGTCAGACCCAAATATTTGCTATCTACAAGAAACCCACTTTAGGACCTGGGAGATAGCTCAGTGGAAGAGTGTTTGCCTAGGATGTATAAGATCCTGGGTTTGATCCCCAGCACTGAAGAAAAAACAAAAACAGGAAAGAAATCCACTTTAAATATAAAGAGAAGAATAAGTTAAAAGTGAAAGGAAGGAAAATGACATTCATGTAACTTTTAATTAAACAAAAGCTGGAGTGGCTATTTGTATCTAACAAAGCAGACTTCAGAAAAAAGAACCAGAGATAAAGAGAGATACTTCATAATGATAAATGGCCGATTCATTGAGAAGACGTAATAATACTACGAACGTTTAAACCTAATATCAGAGCTTCAAATTACATGAAACAAAAAGATGACAAGTGACAGAAGAAATAATTAGACCTGGAGATTTCAACATTTGTCTCTCAGTAACTGATAGAACCAACAGGTCCTTGCTATTTCCAAATCAATAAGGATACGAAAGATCTGAACAGCACTATCAACCAACTTGACCTGATCGACATTTATCCAGTGAACAACAGCAACATATTCATTCTTTTTAAGTACAAATCAAACACAAATCACAGCATACCATAAACAGACTGAAATCAGAATACAGTATGTTCTCTGATCACAACAAAACTAAACTGGTTATGTATATGGAAAGATTATCCTGAAAATCCCAAATAGTTAGAAAATAAATACAGTTCTAAATAACCAACGTGTTTTAAGAAAAGGACTCACAAGGGAAACTAGAAAACATTTGTAGCCCAATGCAAATACAACATCTCAAAACCTGTGGGATGTAGCTAAACAAAGATTCATTAACAAATTCATCTTAGAGCATATTTAAGTTGAACTGAATTACTCCAGTAACTAAGTATTGATTAAATATGAATGACTGTTATTCATCATTATATAAAAAGATTTAATTCACCAATATTTATTGAGATATTTCTTAAAAGCAAAGAACTGTGTTGGCTTTTTTGGGGTATATAAAGAAAGAATAGTTCCTCAATTTACCAAAAAAAATTAAGGACTATACCTAAACTCCAAAAACACGCAGAGGACATTTCAGGGCTGTTGTAAGCAAAGACAGCACAAATGTACTGGAGTGGAAATGAAAGTGTGTAGCTAGGCCCCTAAACCTCGAGATGGAATAGGCTGTGGGAATGGCAAATAGGGCTCCAGTAATCAACAGCTAGTATAATTTTACCACAACAGACATGAGGGGGAGCACCCTGGGACACAACTGTGAGGCCTGGAGTAAAGCCACAGACTGGACTCATCCTGTCTCAGCATCCTGAGTGCTGGGATTACAGGTGTGTGTCATTATTGATGTGAGTGCTGAATCTATTGTCTATTATCAACATTACTGTAGTAAAATTTCCCCACCTTTCTGAGGTTCACTCTCCTCCTCTGTGCAGTGAATGAAACCATCCCTGGTTGTCCCTGAGAGTTTGTGCCAAACTGCACAAACAAGGAAGTGATTTGCTAGCATAAAAGCATAGAAAGCTGAAAGAAGAATGACACCCTACTGATGTAGATGCTGGATGAGAAGTGAGAGAGTGTGGAGGTAAACTAATGTAAGAGTGCAGGTTGGGGTAACAAGAACTGCAATTGGCAGGGATGACATACCCGCATCGAGAAAGAGAGGCCAAGGAGCTCCAGTGAGGTGGGCCATAGCAACTGACCCAGAAAGGGCTGAAGGCAGGCAGGAGTAAAACAGAATGTGAATTGAATGCACAGAGGATATCTGGGAGAATTTTGACCCCAAAAAAGAAAGTCAGAGAAGAACTGATTTTGGTGTAGAAATTATGAAGTTTCTAAAGGACTTCTATTCACATTATAAAAAACAGATGACTTGGAGGAAAAATCTCATGTAATAAACTATTTAATCATAGAAACTAGTATCTATTCTAGAAACATCTGGCATCTATCTTCTATTCACAATTATACAAGCAATTAGTCTACCACTCTATCTGAATTTCACTTTCTTTCTTGTTATTTTGCTTTTTGAGACTCTTACTATGTACCCCAGGCTGCTCTCCTACTGGATATCCTCCTGCCTCAGCCTCCCAAGTGCTGGGATTACAGGTTTGTAATCCCATCATGCCTGTTTCACATGTCATTTCTAACATCAATACATTTCCATATATGCTGTGATCTTATTAGAAGGTTACAGTAATGGAAAGATGTGTGAAGGAACGCCACAGAGAATTACTAATGTGCTATTGCAGATGCATCACAATTCACCATGGAGTAACTTTTGGGTGCTAAACTGAAAGAGCCAGAAACTAAAAAGTGAAAAAAGGAAGAATCATTTGTCACTGAGTTCCCTGTTTAAAAAAATTTTTTTTTAATGTAGCCAATTAATAAAGCCTACCACCTGAATCTACTAACCACACAGATATAAAGAAAACATTATTCTGGAATAAAGTATAACGGTAAGGGCTACGGATGGCATCTGAATGAACACAATGCCAACTGGTACACTGGAGTTCATTACCTATTGTGACCTCCCAAAGAACCACTGTCACATACTTGGACTTGACTCACAAACAGGAGATGAGCTTAGATTTGAAATTCACATGATTTCCAAATACATTAATAGCACCCAAATAGAAACTGGACTGGCTACAATGAGCTTATTCAAGTACCTTGACAAGGAAAGGTTTGCTGTTCTATGAGACATTTAAAACAGTGTCTATCACATGTCCATGTGTAAGTTACTTCTAAGTCAATCACAAGAGCAAATAAATGTCTGCACTCTAACTTTTGACTAACATTCACCATGTTTGCACAGAATCAGTTTTTAAATAGCATACATATAGAAATACTAACTAGCATCCTGAGAGTAACTTTTCAAGTTCTTTGTTGTGGCGTGTAAAAACAAACCTCAAAAGGAAATACAAGAGGGGAGAAAAGAGAGGGAGACATCTGGATAGGCTCCAGAGAACTCACCCGTGCAAAGTCAAACGCATATCTGTAAATAAGCTTAAAGTTTGTAGAATCATTTAATAATGATCTTAAGTAATCCAAAGTATTTCTGAGTCGTTCTGTTGTATCACATCTAGGAAAACAAAATAAAGACAAATTACGACCTGAAGTTTTTAGGTTTTTTTTTTTTTAAGTTGGAGCAATAATATAAAACAGACAACACCAAAGGAAAGAATAAAAACACCAAAGTTGGAAAACATCCATAATGACCTATTATTTTGTATACTTGTAAAGAAACTTGAAAGAATAGCAAATAAGACTCCATTTACCCATTCCCTTGCTTCAGCAATGAATTCATCATACACACACACTTTCTGTTATACCATTAGAAAGCTGCTACATGACAATCTACCTGTAAAAACTTCAATACTGTCATCATTCCTAATATTCTATCAATGCCAACTTTCTTAGCTAATGTACAATCCATATGCATAGGTCCCAAATGTTCTCCAAATTTCCCTTATAGTTCTTTCATGCTTGAAGAGACCCAGACCAGCTGTTTTTGTAGCCATCAATCTGTCTGATTGATTCCCCATGATTATGTAGGCTTAATACTTTTGACAGGAACACAACATTTGATGTAGGGTTCTTCCCAGGGTAACCCAGAAGGCTTATCAGTCTGTCCCATTATTGGTGAAATTAAATCAATTTTGACAGTTAAAGTGGGATCCATCAGATTCTCCATTTCATTCCTTTCATTCCTTTGAAATAGCAAGTAATCCGTAGGGTGATACTTTAAAACTGTGAATATCCCATTCCTCAGTTCCTCAATACTTTACTCGATATGTATTATAAATTTTTTAACTTTGCATTTTCCTGATGCTTCAACATTTCCACAAATAGGCTATTAACAAGCTGCCTAGGAGACCAGGTGTGCCAGTTTGATAAAGCTGGTCCCTTGACTGACTGACATTCAAATGCACCAATGAAACCCTTTGTGCCTGCCCCTAACCCCCACTAGAAAGCACTTGCTCATGGGTCCCAGCCTCTCTCCCATGTGCCGGTGCCCAGCCCTGCCTTCTTTCTCTTGGTCCTCCATCTTACATGGCTCACCCAATACAGCTTTTGTGAGGAATGATCCTTAAAGATCCTTAAACACACAGTTGTTTCAGCTCCCATTGCTGATTCCTGCCTGGATCACCAATTATATCTAAAGGTATAAGATGGTGTTTTCTAATCCTGTCATCCGTTCTATAGTTACTGGCTGCAAATCTATAAAGAAGAGTTCCGTGCACCACCTTTCTCATTCTCTGGCTAGTATTTTTTTGCTTTTAATTCAATATATTATTGTCTTTATTGTGGTATACAAACTGTTTCAGTTTGGCCAGTGGTTCCTTAAAGCTGCCTGTAGTGTCCTTGTGACATGTCCCCAACAGTCTCTGAGTACTTCCTTGCTTTCTGCACAGGCTGTGCCAGCTCACCTTGTTCTTTCCCTGTCCCAAACTTGAAACCAGCCATTTCTCCAGGGAGCTGTGGAGATGATAATCTATTTTTACCAGTAAATGACAGTGTTTACTTTTCATAAAAAAGCAGACTAATTGGTATTTTTACAAATTAACTTTCTGTTTATAATATGGAGCCCTTAAAAATGAGAACCATGAGTCACCATTTTCTCTAGCAATATTAAAGGTTTTTAGTACTGGGTAAAGTTCCTGTGTTTCTCTGTGGAGCATCTACCTATTCATGAGAATAGTTAATACATTTAGGAAGTATTATCAAAATAAATATTCTGCCAGTTTATGAACTGAAATGTGGTTCATAATAGAGCACAGATTTTTAGAAATAAATTTGTAAAAACTTTTTTAGCCAACTATAAATAATTCATGATCTATTAAGATGATAATCTAAAAGCCAAAAATTAGAGTTAAGTATTTAATTCTTATGGAACAAAACAATTTAGAATGTCCTTTCTTTCTTTCTAATGCTGGAAAATAAAATAGATTAAAATGAGACTATATTGGAAGTCAGGAAAGGCTTCCTCAAAGGACTGACATGTAAACTGATAGCTGAGATGAACTAGATAATGTCTTTGGCGAGGTGGGAAGGGCTCTCCAGATAATAGAAACAGCCCGTGCAAAGGCCTAATGGCAGAACAGAGCACAAGTATACAGGAATATGAGAAAACCATTATGGCTGTATGGATAGACCAGGAGGGAAAGTGATACGAGCAGAGGCTGAGAGGGAGGTAGAGTAAGACCATAAAGGATTTTTGTGGTCCACTGTGAAGGTTTTTATATTGAATCTTAGAAATAATGGAGACACTAGGCTTGCATCCTGAGAAGCTAACTCATTCTGGATCTCTGAGAAGGACATGGGGAAGGGAAAAAAGAGACACTGAGAGTCAAACCCAAAAAGGGCTTTTTATTTCTAGCACACTCACACTGTACAGTAACAATCTTTTCTTAAAACCTACCATCTCTACCAAATACCCTGCTGTGGTCTGAACCTTTGTCTCCCCCTCCATACCTCACTCATATGGTGAAATCCTAACCCCTAAGGTAATGGTATTAAGAGGCAGAGCCCTTGTGCATGGGATTAGTGCCCTTATAAAAAGAGGCCTGAAGGAGCTTATCTGTCCTCTCTACCACATGAGGACACAGCCAGAAGGCAGAAGCCAGAAGATGTTTATGAAACATGCCTTCCTGAGACACTAAAACTAGGACTTCCAAGCTTCCACAACTGTGAGAAATAAACTTCTGTTGTTTATAAGCCACCCAGTCTATGGTAGTTTGTTATAACAATCTAAATGAACTAAGACATGTACTAGTGCATTTAAAGACAGGTTTTATCATATACACATTAATTCTAGCTTGCGTCCAAAACATTTCATAGGATGGATTAAACAAAGTGAAAATGAACAATTAATAGAAAAATACTGAAAATGGGAGACAAAACAGATAAGGTGAACTACTTCCCATTCTAGTACATATTAGTAACTAACCTCCAAGTTTTCTTATGTACTAGATACATATACCTTACAAATACAGGACTTATTTAGTTGACTCAATTAGCCTAAAGACAAATGACCTTAATACTTTTGAATCTTTCACCTAAAAGTTCCTAAGTCCCTGCCCCTAACAAACTTTCTCTTATTCCTGGATTTGATGCCCCAGGACCTATAATATGTTACTTAGCGCAGCACTGTCATTCAAGTATTTGCTGAATAAATGACCAATCTAAGGAAGGTTCTCAAAACTTAAGGTTGGAATACTTGAACTACAAAGAATGTTAAAGATTATTCTCAATGTTTACCTCCATTTCATTTGTAAGGAAACCAGTCTCAGAGTTTCACCTCACAAAAGGAAAGCAGATTCCTCCAGGCCTTTACCGAGGACCAGACTTATCATTAAACCTTGAATTTCAAGAACCAGGTGGCAGTCACCTGTGAGAGAGAATCCATCTGCATCACACTATGTGACACAGTTCCCAACACAGTCTGATGAAGTGCCTTGTTCCCTTAAAATGGAGATGTAGACCTTTTCCAGGAAGTGTGGCCCTCAAACATATGCACCAGGCCTGGTACTGAGTGAGATTCTTTTGTAAAGACAAATGTCAAAAAGAACCTAAAGGTACACAAAAAAAAAAAAAATGGCTTTCATTTCCTCTAAGTACAAATGACAAATGGACCCAAAAGGTGTTAGTAGTGTCTCCTCTGAAGCCTTGGAATAAAATCTGGACACAGCCATGCATTCTTCACCACAAGGACACTTAAAAGAGACACCACCAGATGCTCTCTTCAGAAAGCAACACAGAAAGTCAGTGGGCTTAAAATCATATGATGATGTTCTTCAACATTACACACATAATTATGAGAGATTTCAGAGAACTTAACTCAAAATCTTAAGAGCATGCTGACAGGAATGTATTTTGTGAAAGAATGGTTTGGCCTTTACCTAAAACTCATTTGTCACCAGACAATACTGCCAGAAGAAAATGTGACTTAATAATCAGAAGTCTTAGATTTTCTTCCTTCTCTGACACTCTTATAAACACCTCTCCTTCTAAACCTCAGCTTCCTCATTTGTAAAATCTTCAAGATAAAGTCTGACCTGTCTTTCTTCCAAATGGGAAAACAGTGACAAGGTTTCATAAATTATTAAAGCACAATGCAAACAAAGCACTAGTAACACTAGTAACACTGACAAATGGACAATGATATTAAAAGCTGACAAATTCCAAAATTATTTAAATAAAAGCATAAAATCATTTCAATTTTAACTTTAATCCTACAGTGAAAAGAAGGTAAGTTACTCCAAAGATTTTATATCAAAGTCAGTGTGTTAAGAATTAGTACTTCATCTTTAATACCATCTGAAATGTTTCGTCATCCACCCCACTGTATCCTCTAAGGCATAATACAGCAGAAACATTTGTTTTCTAGAATGAAACTGTTAGCAAACACCATACATACAGACATAGTTACACACACAAGCATAAAATGAATATATAAAACACCTGATATTTTATCTTATTCTGGACCAAGCAGCCCAGATGAGCTGACTAGATGAGCCATTAGTGTAAAACACATACCAGATTTTGAAGACATACTATTTTTAAAAAATGTAAAATAGCTTTTTGGTTTTTTAAAAATACTGACTACATGTTGTAATGATGATAATTTTGATAACTAGGGTTAAGTAAAATATATTAAAACTAATGTTACCTGTTTCTATTTTTTAATGTAGCTGTTAGAAAATCTTACATTATATATGTGGCTCACAGACATGAGAAAAGGCTGGCCTATTTCTATCAGACAGAACTGTTCTAGAAAAATAACTCTCTCTATATATACATACACATACAAACTTGAATTGCTAAACTCCCTCAACATAGTCCTCAAAATGGGTGACCACAGGAAAGCTTGCCCAGACCACCAGACTTCCTTCTGCTCACTCAACCCCAGGGGAGAAGCAGTTGCTGTGGAGGGCAGCTGCCCATCTCTGTGCAGCCCCAGCACTTACTGTAGAGAAGTCATTCCTTTTAGCCATTCCTGTAGAGTAAAGTAGCCCATGTTTTGTGCATCCAATTTCCAAGCGAGGACAAGCATAACTACCTGTTAAAAAACAAAAAAACAAACAAAACAAACAAAAACAAAGACAAATCAAATCTTAGCAGTTAAATGCATCAGAATCCCACCAAACACTTTATTCCTAGTCAGTTAGACACTGAAATATGAACAGAGAACTTCAAAACTGACTTAGTTCTAGTTTGAAAAACATCTAAAGTTTGATAATGTAATACCTAGTGATAAATTAAAATATTTTTATTTTAAAAATTTAAAATTTTATGTCATTAGGATTTTTAGATTTAAAAAATCTAGATTACTGGATAGATTGCTCTGATTAGTAATAACTATTAAAGAGGTTAAAATATGATTGTGAAATAAGGTTTAAAAATGGTGACTTAGAGACACCAATGGAATACTAAGAAAAATTTCCCACCAACATAAGATGGGAAACAATCTTCACAGGATTTAAACTTTTAGGGTTCAACCAATAAGGAAGGCAACTACTTAGAGGCCTATGCCCTGATCTTGGCAAATGAAGGTGGACTTGAATTTAAATTTCATAAGCTGTGACTGTCAGGGAAGGTGAGAGTTTTAAATACTTTCAAAATCTTGCTCGTCAGTGCATATGGGCTTTAAAAAAAAAAAAAAAACCCTTTCACCACCTGTTTTTCAAATGTCACTGTCTCTGAAGTTCGGATGCATACACAATTGACAGTACCCTAGAGTTTACGTAGCAACACTTTTCTTCCTTAGGGATGTTGTAAAGTAACACAACTTCTATTGGTGTCATCTTTGAATTGCAGTACAGTAATACATACTTGGAACAGTATTCTGAATTTGGTTTTTTAGTCTTCAACGTCATTTTACATTTCAAGACTATTTCTACTCACACAGAAATAGAGCTCCTAACTGCCAAAAAAGGATGCCAATAATAGCTGTCTTTTACTGAGTGCTGTTGTTGGGGGTGAGGAACTTTGAAGAACTCAGCCTCCCTTTCTTCTTCAGTCAGAATCAACATCAGCACTCCCCACACCCAGACAAGCTTTTCTGTCTCTGAGGCACAATGTTCAGCGAATCCCTGCACTCCTGCAGCCTGACTAGTCTCCCACCTCGTCTGACTTCCTGCCCATTCCTCTCATCATATGCCCATTACTGTCCTCTGGGTGGAACCTCTAGACCCCATCAGTTCCAACTCACTCTCACTCCTCTAACAACACTGCTAGAAAACATTGCCAAGACTGGCATAGCTCCCAGCAGAAAACTGCCTTCTGCAAGTTAGTAGAAATACTGGTGAAATACTGTCCCAAGGTAAGTCATAAAGATACCTGAACTGGAACACATTAAGACATTAAAATACAAGACAAAAATCCACACAATGAGTGAAAAAATTCCAAAGGCACTTTAGAAGATTTAAGTGTTATTTGGGGTGAGATAGAGGGGTAGAAAACAGAGGCACAGAAAAAGAAAAGAAAAGGTAAAAAAGTTTAAAGAAAAAAGTGTGAAGTCTCAATTCCTAGTTTTCTGTAAAAGCACAACATATACTATAGGCACCAGATGTCTCAGAAAGTCTAAATGAAGGACATGATCCCATAACATCTCTTGCAGATCATAAACTCATTTAGGATCTACAATATATTTATTAAATTGGACGCTAGTGTAAAATTAAATTGCATTATTTATGAGCCAGGGTATGTGTAGGAGCATAATTTCTCATTTGAGTGTAAGAGATACTATGTGGGAATAAGAAAAAACATTCAATAATAACATGGTGCTATGAATTAGGCAGAAATAATTAAGCATATAAAATAACCACAAAATTTAAAGGAAATACTTCATGCTTTTGTACTGAAAAGCAATCACTTTCTAAGCTACATTCAATTAGAAGTGAAAGATCTGTGAAAAATTCATGATAAATGCAACCTACTCAAAATGTTTATGAATAAATTATTCAAAGTTTAGGACTAATTCTACATTAGATGAAACAACTGCTTAGGGGACAATGGTACATAGCATGCAATGATCTGTCATTGAGGCACACATGCCCACACCACTGTAAGAAATTAAGGTGGGAGTAGGGGGATAAGGGGTGGGGGATAGGGGGTCGGGGAGAGAATGGCCAAAGTTATACCATGTCACTTGCAAGAAAAAAATATGCTTTCAAACCAAACTAGACTTGGAACTTATTTCTTGGTGGCCTCATAAAAAGCAACATGCAATTACTCCTTCATTTGTAAAGAGTAAAAGATTTAAGAAAAAAATGATTCATACTACTCAGTAAGTTAGACTTACATTTTCTGGTTCCACGCCAATGTCTTCACAAAATTTCTCCATGCCTTCAGGACCCACAATATCATCAGTACCTGTGATGAGATGCAATCTTACATAAATTAAATCTGATTGTGTCCACTATTACTACTGTATTAGTATTACACTGCTACTGAATAAGACTTAAAGGCAGGAACTTCTTTTGGAAGAAAGAAACCAATTTTAAGTATAATTTGAAAGTATTCTGGAATTTTAGTTCAATCTTTAAAGAATTATATTCTGTTACTATCATTTAAATCTAAATGACAGATCATTTAAAGTCTTTCAACCTTTGGAATGTGATACCTATTATACCTTTGGAATGTGATACCTATTATTTATATCTAAATTACCTGAGTTCAATTCCTCCTCTTTAAAGTATCTTCAAGAACCCTACTCTTATTTTGCTAATAAGTTCAACAGATATGATACTTTTTTAGCAACATAACAAAGAAACACATAAAATTAATTAGAAAATAATAGAACTGGAGGCATGGCTCAAGAGGTAGAGCACCTGCTTTGCAAGCACAAAGCCCTGAGTTCAAATCCCAATACACCACAAAATAATATGTTTCCTTTGCATAGAAAATCAAGTGCAATTGGCCCTCCACATTTGTGGGTTCTAACATCTGTGGATTCAACCAACTGGGGATCAAAAATATATGAAACAAAACTGTGTCTATAGTAACATTCATAGACTTGTGTTACTAACACAAGTAGCACAAGTAACACAATTAGCATAACTATTTACAAAGCATTTACAGTATGTATCAGGCATTATAAATAACCTAGAGATGAATTAAAGTATACCAGAGGACTTAATTAGGCTACATGCAGATGCTGTATCATTTTACACAAGAGACTTGAGCATTATGGATTTTGGTACTCATGAGGGTCCTGGAACCAATCCCTAGCAAATACTGAGTGACGTCTAAGGTTGTTTTTTTTTCAATATAGGCAATGAAGCCCCTTTTCCATTTCAGCTTTAGTTTTGTTTCTTCCTGAAAGAACCGTCCACATGCTCCATATCTCTAGTTTATCTCTCATTCATTTTCTTTAACTACTATAATTTCCTTTCTCCTACTTCTGTATTTCCATTGGAACTCGTATTGCAAAAGTCACTAACAGTCTCATTTGTCAAATCTAACAGACACGTTCCATCTTTATTTTATGTGACCTCTCTACAATCTCTGAAAATTTGAAGCAATTCTTTATTCACAAAACTGTCTCCTTCCGTGGTTTTAGGAAGCATCCCCATGCCCCGTTTTCCTCCTTCCTCTCTTCTTTTGGCTTCTTCATGGATTCTTAGGCTCCTCCCTACTTGTTAAAATTGAATGCGCCCAGTTCCACTCCCAAACCTATTCTGTCTAAGACTCTCCCTGGGAAATTTCAACTATCCCTGAAGTTTCAGGTATTACTGGTCTTTCCAACCCACACTGTTGCCCTCCTTACTTTTGACATCTGCCACGTTTACTGCCATAAACCCACTTCTACTGCTTTTCATATTTTCCAACACAACTTCTCAAAAATGGAGCCCGTCACCTCTCCACGCTAACTCTGCTTATCCTGTATTGTTTCAATTGATGGCACCAACGAAACAGAAACCTGGGAATCATCCCCCACCCTCGCACACCTTTCAACCCACTCTCCAACCAACCAACCTGACTAACGATTGTACTGCAATTTACCTTTCTCAACCATCACTTAACAAGCACCTGCCTGTATGGCCCTAGTGACCCATTCTGCACACAGCCACCCAAGTTCCTGTCTCAAACACAACCCACCATGCTCAATACAAATTCTTCCAGGGAATGGGTGCTAGTGGGCTTCATGCCCTGTAATTGTGGGTACTTGAAAGGCTGAGATCAAAAGAGGAGGCCAGCTCAGGCAAAAAGTTAGTAAGATCTCATCCTTAACCCAAGTCATCTCAAGCTACACAAGAAGGCTGAAGTCAAGAGAGCAGTTTCCAGGTCCAGCTCAGGCAAAAAAATTTACAGACCCCATATCTCAAATGGAGCAGATTTCTAGAACGATAATCATCCAAAATGAACCAGAGGAATTAATCACCTGATAGACTATAACACAAAATGAAATTGAGCAGCAATCAAGAGTCTCCCCAAAAAAGAAGTCCAAGGACCTGATGGATTCTCTGCTGAATTCTATCAGACCTTTAAAGAAGAACTGATACCAACCCTCCTTTAAACTGTTCCACGAAATAGAAAGGGAAGGAAAACTGCCGAACACATTTTAGGAAGCCAGTTTATTACACTTATCCAAAACCAGTATTACACTTATTCCAAAAAGGAGAACTATAGGCCAATCTCCTTAATGAACATGATGCAAAATCCTTAACAAAATAATGGCAACGAATTCAGCAACACATCAAAAGATTATTACCAGACCAAGTAGGCTTCATCCAGGGAATGCAGGGGTGGTTCAACATACGAAAATCAATAAACGTAATAAACCACATTAACAGAAGCAAAGACAAAAGCACTTGAATCATCTCAATAGTGCAGAAAAAGCTTTGAATAAGATCCAACATCATTTCATGATAAGCTGTAAGAAACTAGGATAGAAGGAAAGTTCCTCAACATATATAATATTATATGACAAACCTACCAGCAGCATTATAACTTAACAGAGAAAACAAACCATTCTCTAAATTCAGAACAGACAAGATGCCACCTATCTCACTCCTATTCAACATAGTACTGGAATTCCAGCAGAGCAATCAGGCAAGAAGAAGGAAAAAAGGAATACAAATAGGTAAAGAAACTGTCAAAATATCCCTATTTGGCATGACGGATCATGAATCCTATACCTTAAAGACCCAAAAAAACTCTACTCAGCAAGCTTCTAGACATCAATAATAGCTATAGCAAGGTAGCAGGAAAATATAAATCAACATAGAAAAATCATTAGCATTTCTATACACTAAACAATGAGCAAACATGAAAGAATGTAAGAAAACAATTTCATTTACAATAGCCTCAAAAAAAATCAAATACCTGGGTGTAAAAACCTAACAAAAGATGTGAAAGACCTCTACAAGGAAA